AATCCTTCCCCTCCCATGCCTTTCTCACACGCTCTTACTCTCAATCTCTCTTTCACACACACACAAATACACACCAAAACACAACAAACACACAGCCCTTGGCGTGCTGGATGTGAATTACCGGGTCCAATCGGCGGTGTCTGGTGCGACGCCGCAACGGCTGTGCTGCTGCAGCGTCATGCGGGACGTCTGGCGGGGCCTGCTGCGGGGCCCGTAAAGCGCCTTATTGGCACACGAGTGTGTGTGTGTGTGTGTGTGCGTGAGTGTGTGCGTGAGTGTGTGTGCGTGTGCGCGCGCACGCTTGCAGTGTATGAATAACAAGGTGAGTGCCGCGCCGGTCTTGGCCTCAGCTTCTGAGTGTAGTAAATGCGGCTGGTCCATAATGAGAAGCCGCTTTCAAAAGACGTTCGCACAGAAGCCTGGTCTTACTTGTTGCTATGACGGTACACTCTCTCTCTCTCTCTCTCTCTCTCTCTCTCACACACACACACACACACAGGCGCGCGCGCGCATGCTTGTCGATGTTCTGTAGTGCATGGGAGGAAGGACTTCGCTAGCAGAGAAGGGGATTACATAAGGAGAGAGGAGCAGGGGGCTTTCAGTCTCGTCGGCAGCGGAGCAAAGCCCAGCTCCTCTTGCCTTCAGACGACGGGTACGCCGCCAACGAAGCTGCCTTACCGCGCCGCATTGTCCCCTAAGAGACACCGCCGCTACAAATTGACGAGGGCCAAGGTTTTATTTGATTGTTTCTAGATGCTCAAATAAGTCACACCTTCGAAAGGTAAAATATTGCGTTTGCATGGTAAAAACCACTGCTGGCGCCCTGAGAAGAGGTAGCATTTACATCCAAAGCAGAGCGCCGCCTTTTTCTAAGCAGTTCTCTCCGCTTTTCAAGGAACCACTTGATGGTATGTTTAGAGACCTCGGACCACTTCTTGGGGAACGGCGTGCCTCTCTTGAAAGGCGACATTTTGCTTGGGAGCTACTACTTATGTTTGGAGCGCCACTTAAATAGTTGAAAACCAAGTAGTTAGCTTTTGGCATGTAACGGCAAATTTGCATCTTCGCAAAGATATGCGCTTATACACGGTTGCTCTGTACTGTGACGTCATATTACCGTCTGTTCCAAAGCGTTGTAGTAGCCCAATACAATATATGGTCCCAGCTGCGATTGGCGTCGTTTCGGGAAGAAAACAGTGCAGCGCCCCTTTCTTTCTCTCTCCGCTCTGCCTACAAGCTAGGTACCAGTCTGCGCCTGGCTCCACCCGGCTGCACCTAGCTGCACCTGGCTGCAACTGCAGCGGGAGCAGCGGGGGGAGGCAGGCGGCGCCCTCCAGCGGCGCTTTCTAAATTGACTATTGTGCGGGAGGGTTCTGGGTGGGGTCCGCTCTGCTGTGCTCTGCTGCGCCTGCCTCAAACCCGACCCGCTGCCCATGAAAGGGCGCAGGCGTGGCGCCCCCGGTAGGCAAGGTCCCTCCCTGCCGCTCATTAGCTCGCGAGCGGGTGCACACAGTCAAGGGCTCATCGCCGGCCGCACTGCCCGCCCAGCCATGTCACGGCCGAGCGTTGTTTTCTTCTTTTCAACGTTTATTGGAGAATTATCGGAGAGAATTAAAATATTTTCAGACGTTTGGAAAATACAAATTGTCAAGAAAAAGTTTAGACTTTTCAAACTAAAATCATTTTCCAAAAGTGTTATTCGAAAAAAATTTAAATTCCTAGGTGCAGCACAGCAGCAAGGTTTCCCTACCCCCCCCCCCCCTCCCCTCCTCCTTTTTGGACGGAGGCGCCAACATGATGGAAGGACAGTCATTCTTTCGCGCCCTCCCGCGATATCCCTGTCGACAGCGTCGCCACCGCCCCGGGCGGCCCCCACTGGGTGGGTAGGGAGGGGCGGCCGGCACACGCGGAGCGCCCCCGCACGCCCACATTTGGACGCTGTCCAACGGCTCTCGCAGGTCCTTCGCCGTGGTAGTGGAGCGGCCTCGGCCACCCCGCCCCTGGAGTGGAGAGGTGTAACACAAAGCCACGCGCGTAACCCGAGCCGAGCCGCCGAGGCCCCGGGCCCGCTCACTAGCCTGGCCCAAAAATAAATCGAAAACCCCATCGGTGGGTTTTTTGAAAGGTAACATAATGCTGATTACGTTGGTCTTTGTCCGGGCGCTCTGCGATGTCGGGAACCCACCGCGCATCAGCGTTAAAGATTTGGGCCCGCGTGGGGTCCGGGCGGGGCGGCGGCGCGCGGACGGATGCAGCGGCGGCGGCGCGCGGCGCAAGTGAGTCATATTCACATCAAATGTAACCCGGGGGGCCTTCTTTCGAACACCACCTGTCCGGTGGCCGTGCGCCGTGTCGTTCGACCTGGCGAGAGAGTTAAAGAATCCCGTAGTAGTTAGGCCCTACGGAGACCAACGTTCATATTTTTGAGGTGCGTGTAGCGCAGAACCCTTCCTTAGCGTCCTATACATCGGCCCAAATCGTCGAAGTTATTTAGCCCCACCGGCAATACACCGGAAAACAGGAAGTTTTGGCTACTCGCTAGCGAGCGGCGCCCGGATACTGTTTGAAATGAGCGCGCTAGACCAGGGTGGGGGAACCGTCCCCGCTAGCCACGCTCATGTACGCCTTTTCCGCAACGATCTATGGCAGGATTGTTTCGTTTATAGCGAAAGGTCAAGAGATAATTTAATTGGCATCTGATACCTGCCGTACTTTTGGCTGGAAAAGGCACACATGAGCGTGGCCGGCGGGGACAGTTCCTCCACCCTGGTCTCGCGCGCTCATTTCAAACAGTATCCGGGCGCCGCTCGCTAGCGAGTAGCCAAAACTTCCTGTTTTCCGGTGTATTGCCGGTGGGGCTAAATAACTTTGACGATTCGGGCCGATGTATAGGACGCTAAGGAAGAGTTCTGCGCTACATGCACCTCAAAAATATGAACGTTGGTCTCCATAGGGCCTAACTACTACGGGATTCTTTAACTTTCTCGCCAGGTCGAACGACACGGAGCACGGCCACCGGACAAGTGGTGTTCGAAAGAGGGCCCCCCGGGTTACATTTGATGTGAATATGACTCACCTGCGCCGCACGCCGCCGCCGCTACATCCGTCCGCGCGCCGCCGCCCCGCCCGGACCCCACGCGGGCCCAAATCTTTAACGCTGATGCGCGGTGGGTTCCCGACATCGCAGAGCGCCCGGAAAAATTCCACCGTAACCAGTATCGTTTTGTCTTATAGAAAAACCACCGATGAGCAAAATCCGAGTTCTGACCCTGGATTTTGGGCCAAGCTACCGCTCACCCCCACGGCTCACGGCCTACCTATATCCCCCTCACGTCAAAGTGTGTGTGTTCGTGTGTGTGTGCGCGCGCGTGTGCGCGTGTGTGTGTGCGTGTGCAGGGATGTGCTCCGAGCGCCCCTCACTCTTAAGTCAACGGTCAGAGGGGAGAGCGTTCACTGTAAAGACATTGCCCGCGAGTGAAGATAATCAAAAATAGTTGGAATAATTGTTACAGTTTGACGACGTAATTTTGAAAATTACATAAAATATTAACATACCTGAAATGGGAAACACATACGGTAGTTGTTTCAAAGTCTTGTCGGAACATTCTTAAGAATGGGCACTCGTTTGAGCAACCTGGGCGAGGAACTGGCTATGTGCTACTTTCTTCGTGGCCTTCCGTAGGGACCTGGAACGTTGTTTTTTTTTTTTCTTTTTGCAACCTCTTCCCTGTCTGTTATCTTTCGCCCGGGGAGGATCGTAAGTGTCCCGGCGGCGCGGCGAGCCTTATCGCGCATTTTGCAACGGGAATATATGTAATAAAAAAGTGTGTATCAGACGTGAGGCGTGATGGGCTGCTCCGCTCCGCCGCGGCAGGCGCGGGTGTTTCTTGCATCGCTCAGGGCGGCGAACGCGGCAGCTCGCGCCCGCGTCAGGGGCGCGCCTGGGTAAAAAAAAGGGGGGGGCCACCGACCATTAGAGTCGGCTCGAAAGAAAAAAAAGCGGCCGGGGCGGCCATGTTTGGCGAGATCCTTATCCTTCCTCCAGCACTCGGGACCAATTTACGCAGACACATCACCTTCGGGGGTGGTGCGCGCGGCAAGGGGTTGTAGGGGGAATCTTCCTTCCCAAGCATACCTCCACCCCCCCTCCCCATTTCCCTCCCCCGATTTCTTTCTTTTTTTCCCCACCTTTTTTTTCCTTGTTTGGCCTTTTCTTACGCTCGACGCATAAATCGTGTAGTGTCGAAGCGAAAGGGCGGAGCAGGGCTTTTAAATGCAATTCGTGCGTGCGCGTCCCTGCCGCCCATGCCAAAGGCATCTCCGTTTTCTTTTTGTGTGTGTGTGTTTTTTTTTTCCTGTTTTTCCTCTCCGCTTTTGCGCCGCACCCATTAGGGCGCGCTTTTACCTCGGTACCGATTCGGCCCGCCGGCGGCAGGGTCCGCCCAGCCCAGCCCGTGCAGCAGAGCCCGCCCCGCCCCGCCTCACCAGCTGTCCGCCCAGCTAATGGATGCAAGTGGGCACTCCCCTTTGGCACGGCTCGGGCGTCTGTCTCGGCAGCCTTATAGGCTCACACTCGGGCCGCTGCTTAATCCATTATTGCGAAAGTAAAAGCAAAAATATTTGTAAAATGCTTGGCTGTGTTTTCTTCCTCGCGCCTGTCGCTGCCGAGCCGAAGCCGTTCATTACGGCCTCTTCTTTATGCACAAAGTTGTCTCCCGTTTGCAGCTTTCTAAACTTTTGGAATGGAAGTATCATTGTAATCAACAGCAAAGTGGGGCGGGGGGGTGGTTGCGGGCGACACTGCTAGTCAGGAGGGGGGGGGGGGTTGGCGGAGGGAGAGACGAAGGGCCTCGTCGGTCACGTCGCGGCGGAGTGGAGAGAGAGGAGGGGTCACCGCAGTGGCCTCGCTAGGATAGTCGCCCGGCCCGCGATGTTTCCTGGCCATTGTTTTCAATTCAATGGCCGTAACGCGTGGCCCGGCCACGTCGGCCACCCCTGCGGCGCGCCGGCCTCCTGGGGTGACTAGTCCACGCCAAAACCTACCACTATACCACCGCCCAAGAAAAAAGTCTCGAAAAAGTGATGTGAAATACTCATATAGGATAGGCCCCATAACCTGCTCCAATTAATTTGAAAACACTGACACAAAATCTACCTCACTTATATAATTGGTAATCTAGTCTGAATTTATACGATACTGATAGTAAAGTATAGAAGTGAAGAACTTAGAATATTCTTAAATTTAAGAAAATTGCAAGATTTTCTCGTTTTAGCGCATCGAAATATTTTGTGCGTTCCCACCTCAACATGTCCTAAAAAAAATAAACTTTTCGCATTTTGGGGTTTATTGTTTTCTGTTTCCTATTGACAAAGCATTACCCCCGGTGCTTCTCTTGCACGCGGGCATCCTGCTGTGTGTCCGGTATGCCTTTGCACCGGAGGCTCTGGTTAATTGGTTCATTAGTGTGACATGAAATCCGCCTCAGCGAGCGATGCGCAGGTAGAAAGAGACGTGCTTCTCTCCTGCCCGCGGGTCACCTGGCCCTGTGTGAGCTACTGCAGCCGAGTGGGGCTCTTTGTTGCGTTTGCTTCTAATAACTATTTGTTTCGAAAATATTTCGCGCCACACAGCCTATATCCGCGGGCAACCCAGCCGTATCCATTCTGTCGAGCTCTCTAGCTCTGTGTCTCTTCCCCTTTGGCACTGCCACACAAACGCACACTCTCTCTCTCTCACACACACACACACACGCGCGCGCGCAGAGCCCCCTCACGCCCGCCACAGGCAGGCCAGGCCCTGCTCAACGGATGGCCGATCCGAGCTCCGTGCTGGCGTGGAACACGACCCTTGGAGTAAAATATGAAAATGAAAGTGCATATAATTCACCCCGCATAGCCAGCGGCGGCTGATCGCTGACATGTTTTTGTTGTTGGAAGGGACAAGTGAAAGAGGGGGGGGGGGCGGCTAAAAGGGGCGAGGGAGCCGATGTCCTCATAACGACCGTGACCCTTTCGTGTTTTTTTTTTACCCGCCGCATCCCAATGTTTTGGGGCAGTGAATAATGCGATGTCGGAGTGATTCCCCCCCCCCCTTTTCTCCCCCTCACCCCCTAAACTTGATTTCCCGGAACTAGTGGTGCGTACTGCCACAAACCGTGCTGCAATCAAAACACCGAATGGGCTGCCGCTGCCATGTGTGTAGATGTCCCACACAAGGCAGGCAGGGCGGCAACATTTGCAGTCCTTCAAACTCTTACATCGGCCCCTGCCCCGTCAACACTCTCCTCCACACTTTCTTACACACACACAATGTCCCACTCACTCTGCCCCACACGACTTGACGAACGCAAACAACCGCCAATCAAGGACCTCCTAAGTTTGGTCCGCCTCCTCGATCGCGGCCGAAGCTTCCCCCGAAGTGCAGAGCCGAACTCCTGGTGTTGACCCACACAGCGGCCCGGCGCCCGAGGGCGCAGAGGCTGCCCGCGTCCAGTTGGGATTGTCAGGTCAAAGTCGTGACCCGAACGCACACGAGGTAATTTGATCGAGAGAGAAAGGGGAGGAAAGAAAGAGGGAGAAAGACACTGGCCGACAGTGTGCAGTGTGCGCACGGGAACTGGCAATACCATGAGTTAGGTTCCATACTCGGAATGAGTGAGACAGCATTAATGCTGAAATTTTCCTCGCTCTTGTATTTTCAGTAGGGCAGTAGGTGTGGTTCACCGTTCCTTTTCCTCAAAAACGTCGGTTAAAACTTTATCTGCCGACACCCTTCACCCCGAGAAACGACGCGCTCTAAAAGCCATGGAACGGTTACCTCAGGGATGACATGGTCACAAAATTAACAATAATGCAATTACCAGAACCATGTTATCTGCCTCAATCATCGCTTTATGGCTTTCCTTCAAGTAACCATAAGATGGTTCCTACAGCTGTTCATTTTCCTGTGTTTAATAATTGAAAATACAAGAATCAAAATTGCGTGTGTCCTCTCTTTTGCAGGATGCTGCGGACGTACGTGCGCAATACGTACACGCACCACTTGTCGGAGATCTTCTCCACGGTGGTGAACGAGTACACGGACTGGGAGCGCACGGCCCTGCACCCCATCAACACGCGCGACGCGACCGTGGCGGCGCTGAGCGACGCGCAGTTCGTGGCGCCGCTGGTGCAGACGGGCGACGCCATCTACCGCGTCGGCCCTGCCTCGCCGTCGGCCTCCAACGCCGGCCCGGCCGGCGGGCCCGTGGCGCCCATCGCGAGCTCGGGCGGCATGGGTGCCATCCTGCGCACGGACGGCACGGGGCCCTTCTTCTACGTGTTCGACTACCAGACCAAGGAGGGCGACTACCCGCAGGTGAGTGCGATGGACATCTGCGCGGCTAAAGGTTTCAGTTTGACGTAGTAGTGTTTTAGGGAAATTTTTCAAGAACCGTACTTTTTTAGGTGCCTGATAATTTTTTTTTTCAATGAGAAAGTCTCAGATTTTGAAAACACGCAGCAGCGTGAGACTAGGGGCGCCTGGGAGGTGGGCAGGCCCGCCGAGCAGCCCTGTCTTGCGGGCCAGCCTATCCACCCGGCTGCAGGGGCCCTGCGCGCTGCAAGCGAGGGGGGTCGTGGGGACTCTACGAAGTTCCCTGTCTGCATAGCTTTTAATAGCCATTAGGAGTATTTTTTTTTGTCATTAAGAATATTTTTGTTGTCATTAGGAATACCTTAGAACCATAAAAGGCACCTTGACATATTTTTTTCCGAATTAATTGCGTTGACATAGTCACATTGCGGCCGCTCGCTCGTCCCATAGCAATGGCGGCTTGCTCAGGTGGTTTAGTTGCACCCCCCCCCCCTCTTCCGTCCGCTCTTGATGAGAGCGGCGCCGCGTCGATGTACATCAGGGGCCGTGGCAGCGCGGGTATTTGGGCGCGGCGCGCAAAACTACTGCCGGCAATACACTGCAGCAGCCCCTAAACTATCCGGGCCGGCCGCGCCGCCGCCGCGCTGCTGTGTGCCAAGCATCCCACATTCAATTACGATGCCGCCACATAAACTTTGGGCGCGCCCCACCCGGTCCCATGCCCCGCCCCGCCC